GCTTTGGATGTGCCTGGAAGCACAAAGAGATGCTGTGTGCAGTGAAGGCGATGCGACGGGTGAAGGGTTACTGGTTTGCTGCCCATCACAGGGCTAAGGGGAACAAGTTGGTCCCTTGGTGTCTCCTGGTCGTTCCCAGCTGCTGGGGATGGAGTAGCAGCTGGATAGAGACCAATAACTTCTGCTTTGGGGTTTGGTGGGGAAATGAGCCCAGCCCTGAGGACAGTGATGGAGGAGGAGGGTTTCACCAGGGGCTGCAGCTCTCCCTGCTCACTGCTGACCACACAATGGGAGGCGCACTCCTGGCTGGTGATGGGCTGGCAGTTGGACTTGATGACCCTGACCTGGGCAGTTGCATCAAGGGAGAGGACCGAGGCACCCATCAGCCCAACTCCCTTTATTGTGCCCGTGTATTAATTATGTTGGCATCTGGCATAATTACTTTACAACTCTAAACATTCAACATCATTGGTCTTATTCCAGCAGGTCTGAATCTTTATGAATTTTGTCTGACTCTTGTTCCCTTCAATTATCTGCCATCAGGAGAAGTTTACTGCTCTTGCAATAATATCAATTTGCCAGAGGTTGCAATACATTTACTCTCCACCTCCGTAATTTACAAACTCACATTCCATGATTAGAAAGAAAAATGGCTAATAGGAGAAATATTCATGCAAAATCGATACTGTATAAGATGCTGCCACCTTTTGGCTTCACTTAATTCTACATCTGGGCCACATCCATCCTTGGTGCTGCCGGGGGCATGGGGTGGGCTTGGGAGATGCAGGAGTTGGGGTGACATGGGTGGGGTGGGGGAGATGATGCTGTGGGGTTTGCAGGCTCTAATAGAGGGGAATTTCTCATGACTGTACACCTGCAAGCAAATTTTCCTTCTTGCACATCCAGAGTGGCCTGGTTTGGGATCTGGAGAGCCTCAGCACATGGCAGAGGGCATCACACCAAGCTTTGAATGTGTCAGTGCTTCACCCAAGCTTATAGGCAACCTCTGCCTCGCAGCACCATCACACAGCACGTGATGCAGAGGGATTTGCCACACTGATGGTCTTGGTAGCTGCTGGATGTGCTCATTCTTCAATTACAGCTCACTGCAATGGGCTGTGGAACACAAATATCAGTGTGCTTTCCAACAAGAAGAAAAAAATTGTAGTAACTATGTTCCAAAGTGCAGGGCGTTAGAGCAGAGCAATGGCAGCACTGCTCTGTTCTCCTTGCCCAATGACACTGGGTTCTGCAGCTGAATACCAGAAAGCATATGACAAAAGCTCTCAGGATTCTGTGGCCGTGGGTTTTCCAGCCAAACCTGCTATTTTCTCATATCTTGTCCCTTTGTTTCCTGATGCTGGAGCAAAGTCTGAATTCTGTAATTGCCACCTGGATTTGCTTTGCTTTCTTCCTAAGGAACTTGTTTGAATAAATTGAATTGGCAAATGTACTGTTCAGCTGCAGAGCGTTGTGTCAGGAATAATGCAGGTATTACCAGTCTCTGTGTCAGCACCAGGCACGCTCAGGGCCAGCAGAACCCATTCAGCACAGCTCTCTTCAAGCAGCTCCTTCTGTTTCCTCTTTACCCATTTCTTGGCCAGGAGCTCAGTGCTCCTCAGTGAGAGCAGGAGCAGCTTCCTGCCCCTTCCTTGGGCACTGCAGGAACTTCATCCATTGGGGGATTTTTTGCTCATAGGCAGATCCGCTCCCGTTTCCTTGTGAAAAGAGGATGAGAGTGGACAAGTGGGAACAATTTGTGCTAATGAGTTGTTAGTTCTGTTCCATGAGTGCAGTGCAGGGGACAGCCCAGACTGGGGGAGAGACGACTGTGAGACAAGCAGAGCCAGAGTGCACCCCAAAACAGACCACAGAATCATCGAGTGGCTTAGGCTGGGAGGGACAGTAAAGATTACCTAGTTCTGTCCCCCTGCCATGGGCTGGCTGCTGCTCAGGGCCCCATACAACCCATCCTTGGGCACCTCTGGGGATGGGGCACCCACAGCTCTGGGCAGCAGTTCCTGATGTACAGTGGAACCTCACTCAGGAAAACCACTCAGTTGCTCCTTCCTCTGGGACACATGTAAGCTCCCAGGGTGGAGGGGTGCCAATATGTGAAGTTTTAATTTCTCCAGCGGGTGCGTGCTTTGTGCAATGGGATCCTCCCTCCCTTCAGCTCCATGTGAGAAATGAGCTCTCTTGTGTACAAAGCCAGCCAGGTGCCACCAATGCCATGACACTGCTGTCCCTCTCAGTGCCAACACCCAGCTGCGATGGCAGGGATGGGAGGTCTATCCCAGGGAGTGGCTGTGAGCAGTGTCCCCTCAGCTGAAGGTGCAGGAGATACAGAACCCATAGGACCCCTATCCTGTGGCACAGGGAGGTGGCATCACCTCCTCCATCAGCTGGATGTTGCAGGGTAAGGGCTGCTCAGGTATCACTCAAAGAAGGCTCAGCGAGGGGAATTGGCCGGGTTAGAGCAGCCCTGTGGGTTCTGCTTGGCCGCAGGAGTGACCCCGCTGTGTGGGTGAGAAGGGACATGGTGCCACCTCGTGGCACGCGGCTCTGAGTGTCACACAGCCTTGTCCCTGCTGGGAGGGCACCCTTCCAAGAGAACGCCATCCCGTGGGAGCTCCACCGCTGCTCCTGTGGCCACACCGTGAGTAGCTGGCAGCAGGAAGTGCGCGGTGGGGACCCATCTCCAGAACACAAGGGACAGGGCTAACGATGCTGCCCCATCCCCTAGTCCTGATAGCAGATGCAAAGAAGGGTGTGACCCCAAATACGTCAGTTTTCAGTGAAATGCTTCGCTACAAAAGCAGCAGGGCAGTGCACAGGCAGGATTTAGGGTGTGATGGATGGCACCATGGCTGTGTGCTGGCACGTGGGGCTCGGTACCAGTGAGCTGGGTCCACTGCTGTGCCAGGCGCAGTGCAAACCCAATGGAGGTGCAGCCATTATCCTGCAAAGGTCATCACCGAGACCCAGGTCGGTTCCCTGCTACATCTCTGCAGTGCTGCTGTAAGATGTCAGTGTTTGATCTGCGACCAGAAACCACCCAACACTGGATTATTTTTTCCATTGCTATTATAAAGGTGGCCCAGTTCTGCTGGGTTTTTTTCCTACTATATTATACTGCAATACTGAAGATGGAAAAGCCCCTTCCTTCCTCTCTGCCTGGATGCTCCGAAGGCCTGAATCTATAGCAGGGGTTGGAGGGTGGCGGGAGGCACAGTAAGTTTGGGTTTTGCCTCTAAATCAACAAATTTGTTCCTCCTTAGCAGCCCTGAGGTTTCCCTGGGAGAGCTAAGAGCAGGGGATTAGGAGGGCTTGTTCTCTTTAATTGAAGAAGTTCAGCCTACAAGGCAAAGCTTACCTTCAGTATAACCTGAGGACAGAATGTAACATTCTCCCTGCAGGTACGTACTGCTGGAAATCACCCAAAAGACAAGTTTGCTTTGTCATTTTAGGAAGGGGGTTTAAACACGAGGCTCTTCTATGGAAGAAAGGAGCTCATGCTGATACAATGATATCTGTGTCAATCTGGTGCTTTTCTGGGGAGGTCGCCTTAGGCACTCAGCAGGGATCCACCAAGCAGCCGAAGGCCTGATACAGCCCCAAAGTGCAATGGGATTTAGGTGCCTAAATGCATTAGGCTGCTAGGAAAATCCCAGCCTTTGAAGCTTAAGTAATCACTAACAAAAACAAGCTAAAAAGTGAAATAAAATGAGTCTGGCTAAGGCTGCCATGCAGGCGCTGCATCCTCTGAGTTCTGCACCTGAAACCAAGCAGCAGGAGGTGGCCATGGGCAAGCAGCATGGGATGAGCAGAGCTCCATCTCTTTGGCCCCACCAGAGGTTGCAGGTTGGCCCCTCTGAGCCATTCCATCCATCTCTTCTGCTTGCTCCTGCCAACAGGTGTGTTTGCCCCTGCAGGAATGATCCGGGCCACTTGGCTGCAGCCATCCTCCCTGTGAGAGTTTATGAAGAAAGCATTAAAATTGCCTCTCGTTGTTGTTGTTGAGAGGAATTTTAGGACATTAAAAGTTGGAGAAGTCATCTTCATTACTTCTCTTTAAAGTTACTTATGAATTGAGAACGGCTCTGCTCATATTTCTCTTTTATTTGCCATCTCCCCAGGCTAAAGTGTTGTCTATTTATCTTACAGATTAGGTTACTTTTTATGGGGTTCCTGCTATTATATTTCACCTCTAACTTTGTTAGTTTGTGTTTGATATTAAATTATGCTGAATAAAATGTGCGGCTCAAGGACATTTTTCAGCCTCATCCTGAAATGAGGCTCTTAATCCTGTTTCTGGGTCTGCCCCTGCAGTTCAGCCTACGGGGATGATTTGGGGTCTGTGAGATGGGCAGCAGAGGAGCGTTTGCATCCGTGATGAGCTTTGCAGGGTGAAGCTGCAGAGAGCCGTGCCTGCGAAAGCCGTCTGTTCACATACGGTGATTTTGGAGACAACTCTTTAGAAATGAGTTCTAATAATACTGGCACCGTCACAAGATAAGATCCAGGACTGGTTAAATCACAGCCCTGCAACTGGGTGCTCCTTTGGGGATTAGAAGAAGGCGCTGAGCTGTCACTCCAAAGCTGATCATGGGCTCGTTTAACTATGTCATCCCATAAGACAGCCCTTTCAATTATGTCAACCTGTCTGCTCTCCCTAGACTCTAATTTTAGAGCAGCAGTAGCTAATATTCTTGGAAAACTGATCCGCCTCCACAGATCTCTCCTCTCTGTCTGCTGCTGTGAATGGAGTATCCTGTGGGGAGATGGGGCTGCTTTACTTCCCCTCCTGTAATAATCCTAATAAAAATAGGTACCATTAGGTTCCTCCGTGTGTGGTCTCTTTAAGACACTTATCTGAGCTATGTAATGGAGATGTCTCATCTCCTCCACAGAGGGACCGGTAGCACCATGGGGTCATTGCAATAAAAATAATATTCTGTTTTAAAAGCTCGGTGTGGAATTACGAGCAGAAAAGCAGGATGATGGGATGGGAGTTCGGGGACCTGGAAGAGGGAAAGGTGAACCGGGGGCAGCTGAATGTTAACGGGGCCACCAGGCTGCTTCTGGCTGGTGCAGGTGGGTATGGGGGAGCAGGTGGCCTTGGGGACACCATGGACAGGCAGTTGTGTGTGTCTGCCTGGTGCGTTGGGGCACACAGGGAGGAGAGGAGATGGATGTCAGCATGCCTGGGCTGCGGGCATCTTGGTTCATTGTATGTCAGCTTGGCAGGAAGGGGCCATTTCTGTCCTTCTCCAGACCAGATTGTTCTGGGGGCCCTGTTTGAAAGAATAGACATTCAGAAAGCTGGGAAAGGGCATGAATGTCTTCTGAGGTGTTTTATTTGCCTTTAGAATGCTGTACGGTTTCAAAGACATCCCGCATTGGTGAGGTGGGATGGATGATGGCAATTTACCAACTGCAGAGCTACCAAGAGGGAATCCCAAGGGAGACAGGGAGAGGACAAAGAGCAGAGCCACGGAGAAAAGAAAACACTGAAATGCTGAAAAGAAGTAGAAGGGGTGGAGAGGAAAAAGAGGAGGAAGGCAGGTGACCCCATCCGTCCCCCCCAGCATCACCACTGCACTGAAGGCCCTCTGCAGCTCAGGCTGCACAGCATCCACAGCTCCCCCAGACCCAGCGAGTTGGTTACATGGAGCTCTCCGTTCACAAATCCATGCTGGCTGCCCTTAATCAAATTCTGCTTCTCAAGCAATTTCCCTTGCTAATTCCTCCTGAACCAGTTCTAACCCACCTATCCCCCTTGTCACTAAGCTAGCCAGCCTCTAATCACACGCTGCACTCTGATCCCTTCCCGAGTAATGCGGGGTTCGGCGCATTCCTCCCGTTCTCAGCAGCCTAACCTGTCAGGAGCAAACTTCTAAAAATATCACTAAAGACCTCGGCTAATTTCTAATCCTCGTTTCTATTAAGATGGCTGCCTGTGCTTCATGGGTTTCCAGACTCGGGATTTACAGACTTCCTTAAGAGTATCTGATCTGTGCATAGCCGTTCCCATTGTCATCCACAAGCGGGCTCCTCCTTCCCACCACACAACACAGCCCTTTCACAGTGGCTCTGCAGGCTGCACAGTGCCGTGAGCCCATGTGCCAGCATCAACCTCTTCGTCCTGCCCCGCTCACCCCACTCCTCTGGGCAAGCCTTCCCCATCAGATTTTGGGGTCCCAGTCCCATTGGGCGCTGGGTGGGTGTGGAATTTTCTTTGTGCTTCCCATGTCCTGGAATATTCTGTAAACAGTATAATGGTGCTGATGAATAAATGTATAATGCAGTGAAGGTCTTGAAGCTCCTTGTGAGGCTGGACTTTTCACTGTAGTTTGTATTTGGGTTTTTTTGTTTTGCTGTTCTGTCATGCTTTTCAACACTGTCCCATCCCCAGCTGTCAGAAACCAAACGAGACAAGAACAAAGTGGGGGAGGCCATGCTCTGACCTCGTCCCCAATGAAAGTGATGAAGCTGACTCAGCTCAGCCAAGAAATCCTTTTAACCACATGGCAATGGCCAAGTGAACCTGGTGGAAGATGCTGTGTGACTGCATTGCCCCATGCCAGACCTGTCTGTGTGCTGAGGACAAACTGCTCAGGCTCTCCTTGGACTTGGAACCACCAGCATCTGCATCAAACCCAACCTGAGGAACTGACCACCAGCAGACCAACAGTGTGTGATGGTGATGGAAACATCCACCAGCAGATCAACACTGTGACATCTGATGGAAACATCCGCCACAATTACAGAATTCTCTTCTAGGACAAAGGCAGATGACAGCCTTAGAAATTCAAAGCAATCTCAACCTGGTTCAGCTACTGCTTACCCAAGCAGGGCGAGGAGAAAATAAGCCAGGATCAAGGCTGTCTTGAGGGCAGGTGGCCAGGGAAGCTTTTAAACTGGAAACTTTATGAGTTTTTTTGTTGGTTTTTTTTTTTTTTTTTTTGTCATGAGATCACTGGGGATGTGGGACAGCCTTCTGATGGGAATAAAGTTTTAATGCTAGTTTTTTTCCTGAAGGGAATTCCACAAAGTTGATACGTGTGCAATGGATGCTGAGTGTGATGACCCAGGAAGTCTCTTCTGACACCAGGCTTCTCTACCCAAGTTCCTGCAGCCATGCTGGGCAGCAGGGCAGCATTCAGCTGGCTTCAGCACTGCCTCTCACACCGCTGCCACCCAAACGTGGACATCCCACGGGGCTGCACCATGTCCCACGGTGAGCTGTGAGCTGAGCCCAACCTGGACGCGGCACATCCACCCAAGGAGCCCCTGTGCTGCAGGCAGGGAGATGGAAGCACAACCCAAAGGACTGCGGGAGGCTGCACTGTACCGCCATTGCAGCTGTTCATTGCAGAAAGGGCTTTAAATGAAGATCGTTGGTAACATCTCGAGTCCGGGTGGGAAAATGAACCTACAGAGTGCCTGCCTTCGGTTCCATCCAGCGGGGCGTGATGTCAGCGCACACGAGCAGTCACATGAACGCCACGTGGCACTGCTGCAGTAACCAACATCACTGAGCCGACAGCCCCCGCCTCCACGCAAAGCGAGCAGCCGGCAGGCGGAGCACGTGGGGACACTCCGTAGCTCCTGCTGGAACCGCAGCGTCCGCCACCACGCCGTCCTGCTGCGCGCCCCGCGCCCCTTGCCCTCCGCCACCGCCGCGCCCCCCCGCGCATGACTCAGCAGCGCCGTTCCGGCAGCTGATTGGTTCCGCACCTAACGAGCAGCGCGGGCGGTGACGGAGGGACGCCATTGGCTCGTTCTTCCGTGACGTCATCGGGGGTGGCCGGGAGGCGCGGCCATTGTGTTGCGTTGCGTGGCTTTCTTACTTACAAAATACTGTGCAATTCTTCTCAATGCAGTGCATTGCGTAGAATGCAGTAGAAGAGAAGAGAAGAGAAGAGAAGAGAAGAGAAGAGAAGAGAAGAGAAGAGAAGAGAAGAGAAGAGAAGAGAAGAGAAGAGAAGAGAAGAGAAGAGAAGAGAAGAGAAGAGAAGAGAATTTTGTTCTGAGATGTTGTTAGTGAACTTAAGGATCTCCTACTTTTTAATAAATGGCTTCTGCTCCGGGCCATGGCTTTGTATTTCAGCCTCTGTTTTATGACTGACGCCTTGCTAAGTGTCCTGAGCTACACTGGCTTGTGCTTGGTCTGCCTGCATTAAGCTGCCTCTTAACCCTGTTCACTGTTGGTGGGGAATGACAAAACCCAGGTACTAGCAGGAAGAGTTTGGGCAAACAAACCCGCCTTGCTTTGTAATGTGCCTCCAGCATTACGCTGTAAAGCAGTCAGCTCTGCTCCATGGGAATGCATTTTTTGTCTCTTCTCCCAGATTTCCTTCCTCTGAAATGTGATGCATGTGGAGAAGTCTTCTGTAAGGACCACATCTGCTACGATGAGCACAGCTGTAGCTCTGCCTGCAAGACAGTAAGTTCCTGGGTGTGAGTCAGTGAGCACCACTGCAGGTCACCGAGTCATGCAGGAGGGCTGCTCTGAGCCTCCACCTGTGGTTTCTATGAAAGCAGGTGGAAAAACCATGAGGCAGCAGCTAATGATGCAGCAGAATTGCAGCTGTATCGAAGCACAGCCTTTCTGAGCTCACTTCTAGACTGTCTTTCTTCTCACTCGTTTTGCTTCTTCACAAAGAGGAGTGCTTGATACTCTCAGCAATGTAGTGTGGCCTAAGACTTACTGCAAAAGAAATAAATAGAGTGAGGGAGAACGCTGATCTCTGGCTGATACTCGAGTGCATGTAGTGCTCAGTACTCCAGAATCATATTTAAAATGAATTTATTGGATGTGCTGCTATAAACTCATTTGGCAAAGCACTTCTGGCCTTTTGGATACAGATTTGCAACTGCCTTCCTGAAAATCCTCTTCAAGAGAATTAATGAATAGAACATAACATACTTATGAATATACTTCCCATCACCCACGGGTAAGAGAAAGGGAAGGGCAAAGCAATGAGTGTCAGGCTTCTGATTGGTGTGTGTGCTCTCAGGATGTGCAGGCTCCTGTGTGTCCACTCTGTAATGCACCTGTCCCTGTACAGAAGGGTGAAGTACGAGGTATTGTGGTTGGAGCCCACATGGATAAGGACTGCAAATACAATCCAGCACAGCAAAAGGTAAGGAAACTACTGTTGGAATCTAAGCAGCCTGCTTAATGCTTGTCAAGCTAGGTCTTCTGACAGCAGAGCATGCAGGAGCTTGCTGTTCAATCTCTGTTTTAAGGGCAATCCAACATTCATGCTTCAGCCTCGTTGTTGCCTGGGAAGCTGATCACAGAAAGCAAACAATCATTGTTAACTTCGTGTCCTCTGTTATCTAGATCTTCACAAACAAGTGTTTAAAGCCAGGCTGCAAAAGGAAAGAGAGGATGAAAGTAGTTTGTGAGCAGTGTGGAGGCAACTTCTGCATAAAGCATCGGCATCCTCTGGATCATGACTGCAAAGCAAGCAGCCGCCCCATCTCCAAGGCTGGGTGAGCTGCAGCTGTGGTACTCAGAGCTCAAGCTGAAGCCTCGGAGCTCAGCTCAGGGCTTGGTGGGGAGCTCAGGCAAATAAGGAACAACGTAGACCACTGGTCACCTGAGTTAAACAGCCCTTAGTTCCTCTTTGAATCTTGGGCATAGTTCTTGATAGTCTGAGCCAAGGAAAAAAGCTTCTTCTCAAACAACTTCCTGAAATTCTCCCAAGCTTGCTTAACTTGATAGCATGACTTTGTTAAAAAAGCCCTGAGAACAGGTGCTGGCCATCTGCAACACTGTTTGGGCTCTCGATCTAAATACTGGAATCTTAAAGCTTTGCACAGAACCTTAAAGTAGCCGGGAATAAAATCAATAGCTTACTAACCTAATTAGCTTACTAACCTAATTTTAAACTAAAAACATCTCTTGCAGGCAGACAAAACATCCTTGTTCTGTGCTGTAGGAGTGTAAAGTCTGGATGTCAGATGCAGATAATTAAACTGGATGGAAGAATGAGACTGAAGGTGTGTTTAAGTGGTGCTGAGCCTGGCCGTGTTTCTCTGCAGATCCACAGCTCTGATGCGAGCCTCTCAAACTGCCTTCAAGTCAACGGGAGCAATTGCAGTGCCATCTAATGGGAACCTTCAGCACAACAGGTGTGAGCTGTGGAACGAGGGGAAGATGAACGAGGTTTATAGAACACTTTTATGTCAGCACAGCATAGCAGTGCTGCTGTCACACCTTGAGCTGCTGCAGGGTTGGTAGTCGACCTTTGATCAGGAATGCGGCAGGGTTCTGGTGGCATGGGGGAGTGCTTCTCCACACTGCAGGAATTAAAATGGCTGTGTAGATGCAGGCATGAGGACACAGAGTTGCTCACTGGGCCAGCAGGTTGTCCCCCGCTGGCTCACTATGAGGCTTTTGGTTCAGTTATGAGAGCTGGTGCTTCTTCTGAATGCTGAAAAGCACAGTGAGCCTCTGAATGAATGGCCTGAGGCCTTCCCTGCTATGGTGTATCTCCTTGTGACCACAGGTTTTAGTGGTGTGGCTCTCAGAGTGCATTCTTATGTCTTTCAGGTGCAGATGATAGAGGCTCTTCACATCTGGATCAAACCTTTGTCTACTTTTAAGTTAATCTCATCAGAAGCTCTTTTCTATGCAAGTAATTTGTTTTTCGTGCAATCTCTTAGCCTTTCAATAATCTGTCACCCTTTCTAAGACTTTGTTTCTTTCATGATATTACAGCTTCTAAGAAAAACACTTGAGGAAGTAATAGTAAGAAAGCTAAAATTAAGTTGAAACATGGCCAGCTTTGTTTAGGTCAAGCAAGGCTAAACTGAGTGTCTCCTAGGATGGGAATCTGAAATACAGGCTGCTGACATAGCTCTCAATCCTTTTGGAAATCAATTGGCACACAATGCAGCGTTCTGCTTGACAAACAACATCTATCAATGTGAAGCTAGTGTTCTATAATGTCTCTCTGTTTCTGGATGTTGTTTGGAGTACTTGATTTATAAAGCCATATTCAGTTTTCCTGGGCCCTCCCTAAGCAATTCACTGAAAGGATAGTGCTCACAGAGGCATGCACAGCATAATTCTTCATAATTTATTGCCCCCTAGGTAGGAATGTAGAATGGTGTGGGTGTTTCCTTGTGGCTGGGGCAAAAAGGGAAGCAAAACAACTATTAACTGTTTCTTGTTGCATATAATGAGGCTGAAATGCAGCATTGTGGAAGGAGCTTACTCTTGCTTTCTTCCTGAAAGGCTTAAACAAAGGCATAACAGATATGCGACATCTATTATCTTCATCAGCTGTATTACCTAGAGGCTCTGCTCTTTAAACTGCAGGAACATCCAGCTGCTTAGCTTGGGGCCTGAAGTATTGCAGCTTGATGAAATGGAAATGTGCTGTTAATGAACAGTGCTAATTCCCCAGCTGCGGTCTAAGTAGACCTCTCATCCAACTAATTGTGAGAAAAATGCCAAAGCTTACTGATGATGTCAGGGGGTTAAGACCTCAATTTCATGTGTCATTGGAGCTATTCCTCTGCACTCTGGGGCTGGTAGGCTGGAGCCTTGGCTTAGGACTAACTGAAGGGTAATTGCAGTCCCTCAAATCACCTGCAGCTATGAGCTTCCAATGCCGTTCTGCTGAGGTGGGAGGAATAGCGTAGCAGAAAATGTTGCATTCCTTGACCTGGGAAAAATAATCGTTGATAATTCAGCAGGAGATGAGAGCACAACTGCAGTTAATGCACGTACATTCAACCTTGTGCTCTGCCACGTTTGTGTGTAGATCATGGCGTGCTGCTTCTCTCTTTTCAAAAAGACTCCTTAGAGTATGAATGCTAAAGGGAAAGTATGCCTTTATGGTTCCCTATAGGAAAACTGAATACGTGGCCCAAGTATTGACATGTAGGCTTTTTGTCAGGGCAGAGATAAGGTAATTTCTTGATGGCATGGAACAATAAATGAGTGTGCTAGCTCTGTTCACATCTCTCCTAGTGGGATTTAATCTCATACAGTGACGTGTTTTTTGGAGAGCGATTAAAGCCCTGTAAAGCTTTCGGCTGGCCAAATAAAATACGTGAAGCCGGGCGGTACGAGTTACCGCCGCTAATTCCATGCAGCCTAATTTTACGCAGTCGTGAGGTCTGAATTGTGATAGGCCAATGTTTGTAATACCGCGTTTAACCACAGGGTGGCGCAATAGGACGCGTAATAAAATCTGATGCTGAGACGGCTAAGCGCAGAGCGCGCTTCCATCCGCGATAGAACAAAGCTGAAATGACAGCTCTGCTTTTTAGACAGCGCCCCCTGCCGGCCGCCCGCTGCGCTCAGCTCCGGCGCCGCGCTGCTGGCAAGACTTTGTAATCCCTGTGCGTTGCACGGGGCAGGCGCTGTGCCCCGGTAGGGGAAGGGGCTGCGGGGGAGCAGCAGCGGGCGCTGGTCGGGTTGGCGTGCTGTGAGGTGAGGAGGACGTGGGGGCGGCGCTGAGGAGCGTGAAGGTTTGCCTCCTCCCGTAGGTGAGGTGCCGGGAGGCGTTGCCTGTAGCCCACAAGGAAGCGTTGCGGTGACACGGTTGTTTTCCTTAACTGTCCCTGCCCGTAAATTACCACGGAGTGCTTTGTGCATGCGGTATTTATAGCGATGGGCATTGGCACGCTGCCGGGAAGCCCTGCCCTGGGAGGTGTTTCCTGTCAGCCCACGATAGTTGCGTAAGCTGCGCTGGGTGCCTTCACCCGGGCAACAGCGGGCGGGGCGACCTCCGTGTCCCTACACGTGGAGGCGGACGGCCGCCAGCACGCAGCAGCTCGGCGCGGGGAGATGACGTCACGGCTGCCCTCCGCTAGCCGGCCGGGCTCCCGGCGTGCGCCCTCTGAGTGGGCGTTCTACACGGGAGCACCGCTTCCTATTGGTCGCTCGTAAGATTGGCATGCCGAGAGCCAACCAGATGCGCAGATTCCCTCCCTGCAGCCAATGGGAGAGAGGGGGCGGGCTGCGGCGCCAAGCGTGAGGCTCAGTTAAATGTGAGGAGGAGGCGGGCCCGGGGAAAGGTGCGTGGCGGCGTGCGGGGATGCGGCCGTGCTGCGGCGCCTCGGGCCCTCCTCACGCGTATCCGCGGCGGGTGCGGGGCCCTGAGGCCTCTCTGCCACGCGCGGGCCTGGCCGCAGGTGCGGGCCTGCCGTGTGGCGTTCCGCTCGTGTCGGTGTGGCGGGGAAGTGGGACCGCGAGGGCTGCTGATGTGCGGGGATTTGCGCGCGCTGCGGGAGCGGAGGGGCGCGCGGTGCGGCGGCTCGGGGGGTGGGGGGGGGGGGGGTGAGGAGGAGGGGGTGCGGGGCAGGCCGGAAGTCACGTGGTGCCGCTGGCTGGGCACGAGAGCGCTCCGAAAGTAGTGCCTCCTGGTTATCTGCATGGAGCCGGGACCCAGCCCTCGTGTAAGGGCTGGCAGTGGAGGTGAGAGCTTCTCACTGGAGATCCCTGCCTGAGGCATTCTGAAAAGTAAGCAGCTTCTTTCCATTATTTCTACGCTCATGGCTGTTGCATTTGAGCAAGCCCTCGCTTGCTGCAGCCTGGGACCTTGCTGCTGTGCTGTCATTGCTGCACTTTCCATCGTGTTACAACCACCTGTGTCCTGTGCACAGAAAGCTGTGCACTTTTACCACCAATGAACAAGAGCCTGCATGCCATGCTTGTAGGAAATCTACACCAATGTAGGTGTCACCACTGCAGAAACACACCACCCACCTCCCGACTGCTCACGCCCACTGTGTGGTCTCCACAAGCATTCAGCAAGCATCAACGAGTGTTAATGAGTGCCTGTTTTTATGATGAGAGTGCCATTGTTCTACATGAAGGAACTAAGAGATGTATTTTTGCTTCATGTTCACTTCCATGTCAGGTGGCCCTTCTGCTGCCGTCTGTCACACAGCAGTAAAATCTCATGGGATCTTGGTGGGAAGGTTCAGCTTTTACTGCCATCCCATCAACATCCGTGTCTGACATTGGGGGCCAATGTAACAAAATAGGAGGCATTACTTTCGGAGCAGCCCTTCTGTGCTGCCTACAGGTGGCAAGGCATGCTGCTACTGACCTGCTTCCCAATGCTGCACAGCTCTGCATGCCCTGCTGCTGAGTGCAGCACAGACTGTGTCAGTTGTGGGTGCTGGGCTCTCACAGAGAACAGAAGCCATGGAGTTTTTTAACAGGGGAGTGATATTCTGGTTTTGCAGCAGCTGAACTGGATCATATTATGAAAGGAAAAAAGCTGAGAATGCCCCCAAGTTAACTGAAGTTCAATGCAAACGAGCATTTTCCTAGTTAAGATATAATTCTTGTGCTAGTGTAGACCCTGTGTATGAGGTTTGTATGAGGTACATTTAAGCTTTAAAAAAAACAAAACCAAAACCACAAAATGAAGAGTTGTAATGGTGCTTTGATTGTTGGTAATTAGACAATATTCTTTTTCAGAATGGCGAAGAAGAATATGCAAACCAAAGAAATGAAAGAAGAGAAAAGAAAAAAGCTAAAGCGACGTGTGACCCAAAAGGGAGAGCTGGAGTCAGAGGCCGAACCCAAGAAAAAGAAACAAAGTCTCCAGGTAGGTCGTACTGGTTTTCACTGTTCAATTCAGTGCAGTGTTGATAGGTTGTTACCTGTGGTGTTCATAGCAGTCTGAGTCCCCCATGTGATTCAGTTGCAGTTGTCCCTTGTATAGGGGACGTGTATGGGGGATTCCACTTTTGCCTGGAGTGAAAGTGAAAAAGAGAAGGTAAATGGAGCAAACATCTTGGGCTGTGTCTGATCGTTTTGAATACTTGTAGCAGTCAGAGTCTCTCGTCTGAATGCTTTTATGAAAGACAAAGGATGAGTGAGAACATGTGGGTGAGAAGGGAACCCAATGGCTCTGATCAGCTGTCATATGGCAGTGGAGGCGTAGCTGAAGCCTTCATGTGATTCTGAGTGGCTGGAAAAGCATAAAGGTTTTTTTCATGGAAGTCCTGTTGGTGTTTGTACAGAATGTGGAATGGCCAGAAGGTGTCAGCAGTCTCTTTGTGCAATGAAATATTTGATGAATTGATTTTATGATAACGAGGTTAACAATATTGAGATGTTAAGTAGAAACTAAAAGGTGTCCATTTTTTTTCTAATGGAAACGGTGCATAAACAAGGTGACTTCATTCAGTTCTTCCAAGTGCTTAATGTGGAACGTGGATCAAAGGAAGGAACGTGGTTTGATGATATAACAAAGGGGAGAACAAAAGGTGAAGTTCTGTTACTTAGGATAAGCCGTGGTCTCATACGACACGGTTACCTGACATAAATGTGAGAGCTGTGTGTTGCTGTCATTACCATGAGATGTGTGATTCAATAGAGATCACAACTAGAATATAGCACTACTTATTTTATTGTTGTGCTCTACCTGAGCATACTGGCAATGCTACTTCTTTCTGAGAGCTTTTGCTTGTGTGCATGTACTGCACGTGTCTGCAGTTGTTGTGAACCATGAGAAAAGCCAACCTATGGGCAGCAGCTGTTTGGAGGTCTGTAAATATCGGTGGTTTTGAACACAGCAGGAATGTGCTGGAGTAAGGAAAGAGTGCACAGAGCACTTTGGTCTATTCCAAAGTAAAATGGCAAGTCTCTTATGTGTAGCTTCATAAAAGGAAATGTTTCTCCTTCCCTTTGTAAGATGTGCGTTATAGACTTCAGATTCATTATAATGTAATTCAGTTTGTGTAGAAATGATTTTCCAGGGTAAGAAGTGTGAAATGGAAAGTCAAAATTAAGGTGATGTTTTCTGATCTTTCTTTTTGGACCATCTGATGTCACCTGGTCAGCTTGTAGGAGGCCTGGATCAGCTCTTGTTGTCCTTGCAGGCTGTAGGACAGCGAAAGAGAGAGCAAATATGAAATGGAAAGCAGGCTCCTTAGTGCTGCTAGGGAGCATGGCTAGGCACAGCGTACTTAGGACTATAAATGTTGGTGTCAGAGGGTGGCTTAAACATGTATCTGGTGTTAGTTTTAGGGAATGCCATATAAGGTCTACGAGAAGCTATTTTTTGGCATCAGCTTTATAAACTATAACTGTTGATAGTAGGAAAGTGTAAGTCAGTAGACCACATTTTTTATTTGAAATGGCTGGCAAGGATGAAAAACATCAGGCAAATCTTAAGCAATTTTACTGCAGAAATGGTCAATGAGTGTCAGCTGTATCCCACTTTGACTGTTGCACTCCCAAATTAGTGTGAAATAGCAGTTAAGTCACAGTGGCGTGCTTTAAAATGCTTTGGCAATCAGGTCTTGTCAGTGTGCAAGATGCAGCTGAAAACAAGTTGAATTTGCTGTGCATATATAGGAAGGTGAGAAGGAGCACTCGAGAGAAGCAAGCTGCAGAGTGATGGGCTCTGGTAGCTGGATGGAACAAAGACAACTGCTGGGAATGCTCTGCTACTTTAAAGTAAGCTTAACCTCTGGTAGACCTGCTGGAATTGCTGAAGTGTGACAGCTGGATTCTGTGCTGCGGTGGACTTCTAATGCAGGAACTGAAGTGAACTTCTTTTTGGTGTTCTTAAGGCAAGAATTGGTAGGTCCCAGTTCCTTCCAAGGAGTCTCATGTGATGGAAATAGGTCAGAAGATAGCAGCACGGCACGCTGCTTGTGGAGGGGGAGTTTCCACTGGGTCATTCAGTCACTTTTCTTTCCCATGATTTACTTTTTGTCCTGTTCTGTTACAGCACTTTCAGTCTGCAAAGCGGAAAATGTAAATCTCTAAATGATTTTGTTACAGAGCTGCAGGCAGGCACGTTGGAATCTGTCTTAAGTGACCGAATTTATTACACATTGATTATTCCTTCATGAAATTTATCTCAGAAATTTTCAGCAGCCTGAGATGAAAGCATTTTTCCTTGGAGCAGCTTGACCTTTTGGAGCAATCTTGATGCCTTATTGATTTTCATCTTCTCAGTTTCTTTTCTTTACGTTGAATAGCAGTGAGTGATTCAGGTACAACAGAAGTGTTTCTGTGAATGATCTCAGAACCACGTGGCTCTGCGTGCCAAATCCGAGTGGGGCTGAGCAATGCAAGTTTTTAGATTGAATTTCCTTTGTGTTATTTATTTATCTTTACTGATTTTCATAACATTGCTGTTCTATTGAGCTACTTGGCAATAAAACCCACGTGTCTTCAACATTGATTTTTAAAACGCCTGGGCATTAGTGTCTGTGTTTTTAATGATTTTGTAGCTTACCAACACGGCCTTACATTAAACCATACTGTAATTGGAGATTATTCTGTATATTGTCACATAATATAGGCATAAAGAAAAGAAATTTGAAGTATGCCTCCTAGACTGGTGGTTTGGAGCTGAATGCTGGCTTCTTAAAGATGAACTTTCTGATGGGCCTTGTCTGTGACAAATGAGTTTTGTCTCGGCTCCATGGCAAGAATATTCATGATATTTTATCTGTCGTGTTGGAGTAACAGAAGCATTGGAAGTGCTTGTTTGCAGTCACTTGTGCCTTGCTTCTGTTTATGGATCTCTTCACCCTTCAGATTTCAGCTGCCTCGGTGCTATGGAAGCGTACTGAAAAGCAGAACTGACATTAGGAGCCTTGTAGGCAAGGAACGTGGTGCAGTGATGGCTTTGGTTGTGAAGGCTGTTGGAGTTGTGCTGAGAACGACCTCGCCGTACCAAAGGATCTTTTGACCTTGGGACATAAGGGCTGCTGTTCCTCCAGGGCTGTTCTCAGAGCTGCAGGCTTCCTGCAGAACAGTAAGAAATTCTTCCAGAGTTGAACATCTATTAAGCAAGAGACTCAAAATTGATAATCCATAGAAAACAACGTTAATTTCCTCTTCCTTCCCAATTTAGTCTAGCAAATGTTGTAACTTCAAGGAAAATTGAGTAAGAGCCAGTCAGGTCATTATAAATCAAATCCTGTTGTTTGTGGTTGAAGGGTATTTTGTGTAATGCTCATGCAGCATTGTCTGTTCCTTGTCATCTTCAGCAGTGCTGGTGGTTGGAGGAGGAGGAATCAACATTTCCCCCAGATAAAGGCAAAATCAGTGGGAAAGGAATTTAATTTTTGAGATTCCATACAGGCAGTACAAACAATGGCAAATAAACAAGTAGCTCAGAGCATTTCTTTAATCAGACGGCTGCCGTGCAGGTGCCCAAACAGTAAGCTCTGTTTGCTAAATGGAAAATGGCAAACTTAGTAGGGAAAGTGTTTTTCTCTTCAGCCTTTTGGGGATTGTGATAAAGACCAACAAGGAGGTACTAAATTCATCCTGCAGCAAAGCCAACCACGAAAAGTGATCCTCTAAAAGCATTGTTTTGTGTGCAGGAGAGGAAAACCCTCCCCAGACCACAGTGTTTCAGCTGTGGAGGTGAACAATTCTGGTGTGAGCTTGGTGGAATGCTTAGGAGTGCTACTTTGATACGATCTCTGATGCTGCTTGTAATCAGGTAACTGGGGGAGTAACATGAATGGTTAATGAATGCAAACCAGACGTTTGTGGCGTACGATCCATCAAGCAGATAATGTAAAGCTCTCATCAGAAAGTGTATTTCTTTCTCTGGCAGCCCACTGATTCATACTAAAGCCTGTTGCTGGAATAAAGAGCTGCGGATGGTTTGCAGACGGAGTCTATGAGTCCTGTCTTGTTACTTTATTTGTTGGTTCATTTTGGATGATGTGAAGCCTTTTGCGTAACCACCAAAATAAGCTGCATTTTCCACCCTGAGCTGCGTTGTGAAGTTGCACCTCAGTGCAGGTCCTCCTGCATTTGTACAGTTTTGCTTTACTAACTTAATCCCGCGTGCTGTGCTTAATGTTATCCATGTGGTCATTTTAAAGAGATATTTAGAGTCTTCCACATTGAGGAAAAAAATAAAAGGAAAATAGATTACTGAATATATATTTTTAGCTAAAGTGAGGATCTTGTAGTGTTTTCTGACTACACAGCTTGCATTTCTAATGTGCAAATAGAGCAGTGTGTGTTATGAAGAGAAGATGACACAATCTTTCATCCCTGCCTCGACGCAGGGGTGCACCAGCAGTTGTTTTGTTGGGAGGGATAACTCTGGTGAATTAATCTCTCTTTCTGGTGATAAGGAGGGGAAGATAGCTCCTTCTCAGCGCAAACCTAAATGTCAGTAGGGATGTTAATGAACTTTCGTTAGCCTGCTGGTCTTGGCCAGCCTGCAATGGAGACGTTGGGCCCATTCTCTCTCCTTCCTGCTGGTTGCTGTTACTGGTGTCAGCCATTCTCTGCCTTGCTCCAAGGTCTCCCTGCTGGCCCTGAGCTTCTGACTGCTGCTCCACAGGACAGCCCTGTGATGGCTGAAAGCAATTACCAAACCGGGACCCCATTTGTGACTTGCTGTGTGGGATCCTGCGTGTTTTGTCTGCTTTCTTAATATCTATGCGATATTATTCAAATTAGGGGAAAGGGAATAAAAAAACAAACTCAGAGGGCAGCTGCTTATGGGACAGAGCTCTTTGCTTCCTGCTAACACTTCTTTCTTAGAATATTGGTAGAGTTGGTACAAATTATTTGATTGAATTAACCACGTGTTTATTTATCTGTTAAAAG